GCTGTTTCTACGCCCGAGGGACGGGGACGTGAGCCTGTCCTGCCTGCGGGGTCCGGCGAGCCGCCTCGGGGAGGGATGCGGCCGGCGAGGTGGCTCGGAGGCGCGTCCGTACCCAGGCGTCGTTCGCCCGAGGCCCGGGCACGCTGTAGACCGGCTCTCGACGCTCCCGGCAGCGCCGGTTCTGCCTTTCCTGGGACCCCACCGCTGGCCTGCCTTCCAGGGCCCTGCTCGGCGCGGCCGGGAGCGCTTCCGTCGGGTCCCCCGGGAGCGTGGCGGGTGCTTTGTTCTGTTCACGGCCGCGGCGGAGCTTGCTAAGCCCGGGAACCGAGGGCACCGTGAGGCCCTCCTCACTCGTCCGGCTGCCCGAGGAGTGTCGGCCAGATGTGCATTTCCTGAAGTTTGTGTTTTTAGAATGAGTGTCAGACACTGTCAAACTGTTTTTTGGGGACTTGGAGTGGGAATACCTAAGGTTATTGAGAGAGGTGGTTAAGGTAGGAAGCACAGTTTAATGTCATGTTACCTTGAATATGAAAATCATGTTCAGGTTGATAATTTATTGTAATAGAGTTTTGTAGTCATATGATAAAGATGTCTTAACAGGACGTCAAACGCTGCTGCTCTCAGGATCAAAGTAGAAAAGTTGCTTGCATTTGAAAGTCTCTGTTGGGTCTGATAAAAATGTACAATAAGATAGCTGTGCTGGGCGGCATGTGCCTGTGATCCCAGTAACCCAGGAGGTTGAGGCAGGAGGATTGCCAGTTTGAAGCCTGCCTCAGTAACTTAGTGAGACCCTATTTTAAAAGAAAGAACTAGGGATATAGCTCAGTGGTACTGTGTTCAGTCCCCAGTACAAAACAACCTAGAACCTAATGTGTGTGATGTTATTAGGGTATGATGTTCTCCTTCTGACACAGTGTGGAATGACCCACCTTTCCCTGGTCTTTGAAGATCTGCCTTCCCTGGCCACATATAATGCAGGTACTGATTGTTCTTATAGGTGTTTCTTCTGTAAACTACATTTACTGTTGAATGCCAGGTGTGTGCTGGTCATTGTTCCAGACCCTGTGACTCCAGAAGTGGACAAAACAGATGAAAACCACTGTCCTGGGGCAGCTAACAATCCTGGTGGGGGACCAGGAGGAGCAGCAAGAGGTGTGGCTCCTGCAGACTAGAGAAGGCGGACTGTGCAGGGGGGGTTTGGATTGCAGCCTGCGAGGCCTGGAAAAGTCCCACTTTGAAGGTGGCATTCTAACCAAGACCCTCAGCAGTGCAGGAGGAAGGGCAAGTGGGCTGATCTGAGAGCAGCAAGGAAGCTGGAGTCACCAGGTGCCTGGTGTGAGAGATGCTGGAGCAGAGAGTGGGAAGGTTGTTAGGCCCAGCCGTGGGGCCCTGCTGGGTCACAGTGAGAACTTGGGCATTTATTCTGAATAGGATGAAACCCTTTAAGGATCGAGAGGAGAAGTAGCATGACTGGACTTGGGTTTAACAGAAGTGTTGTGGGCCTCCGTTGAGAATATGTCTCAGAGGGATGTTGACAACCGTTCTGATAAGCAGGCACAGAAGAGGGGCTAAGACTTAGGCCGGGGTGAGGAGAAGAGGTTGAATTCTGGACATGTTTTGAAAATCGGGACAGTAGCATTTGTTTACAGATCACAGGTTGGGAGAGAAGAGTAGGTAGGGAGGAGAGAGAGATGGCACCAGAGGTCACTGCCTGAGCTGAGAAACATGGGGAGGCCCTGCTTCACGGGGAGCTGTCAGAACTTTGGCTTTGTGTGTGCTGAATGTGGAGCAGCGTCCAGGGAGCCTTTGTTTTACCATCTGGGCGCTAAGGGAATAAAAAGCCTGTGACAAAGGTGTGTATGAAGCCACATCAGATGAGGTGGCCCAGAGGCCGAGTAGGTAGACAAGAGAGGAGGCCAGGGGGGCAGCCCAGGGCTGCTGCTCTGGGGCGGGAGGGGGGGGGGCACTTTTTGCTTTCTCCTAGCTGGCAAGCACTTTTCATAAGAACATGCTCCTGGTTCAAAGAACTGTCAGGAGCCAGGACCTAGGTAACTTTATTTCTATTCCCTGGTGACAGAACCAGGGTCCTGTGCCTGTGTCTCCTGCGCCTCACATTGTGTCTGGTACATGTTTGGTACTTGATGAAGCAGAACTTGAATTAATAGTTTACATACTTTCTACTACAGCAACCTGTAGTAGTGTCCTTAATCTAGAAATGGAAATGTACCCAAACTCCTCAAAACCAGAAACATTTTGAGCACTGGCATGACACCACAGGTGGAAGAGTCCCCACCTGCCTTGTGTGACGGGCTGTCGTCTAGGTGCAGTCCATTGGACGTGGTGTGTCACTTTGCCTTGAGGCTGTGTAGGTGTGTGTGAAACGAAAGTGGGTCCCAGCTCCAGTATCTGCATCTGAACATGCAGGTGTTTGAGAATCTGAAAAGCAGAGGGGTGTGCGACCTGTGTGGGGGTGTGTGCTGGGTCTTTGTGGAGTGTAAGTCTGTGCTGTTAGCATAAGACTCCGTGACTGCAGGGCAGCGGGTTCGATGTGGGCATTCTGTCCTCTGTATTCACTAAAGCAGTGTTTTCTCACATAGCTAAAGCCCCCACTGACTCGGTTGTCATTTCTTTTACATTCAAACTGCTGTCTTAAACATGAGTTTTCTAAAAGGGGGAGATCCTGTCTAGATTTATTTATACAGTATAATCTTTTAGTAAATATCTTCAAAATGAGGCATATTACAGTAAACTCTAAAAGAAACGTTGGTTATATGTACATTTTTTGTGGTTCTTTCTGCATGACAGTGTAGTTGGTACTAAGAGAGGTCAAATTCATTGAGCATATTTCCCTATATTTCTGCCTGTGAGATTAATAGCATTAAATCACTTGCTTTTTTAAATGTAATTACCATATCATTAAGACACTTTCTGCTTTCTTCTGGGTTGTGATCACAGAAGTCCCAAGAGGAGGTTGTGGGGGCTGGGGACACAACTCAGTTGGTAGAGCTTCCCTCACATGCACAAGGCCCTGGGTTCAATCCCCAGCACCACAGAAAAAAAAGAAGAAGAAGAAGGCGTGGGAAGTCGTGCCTCTGGGGTGCAGGTGGCCTGTGGGACTCCGTTGGGGAGCTTTCCTCCTGAGTGAGGTGCTTTGCTGTCCTCTCCTCCCTGTGCTGTGCGTTGGAGTTGGCACCATGGTCTAGCAGTCTGGAGCCTGGCTTTCTCTTTGAGGGCTGCCTTCTCAGCTCAGGAGCTTTGTGCCTGCTTCATAAGTGGCATGAGGTGGTGTGTGAAGATGGTGCCATTATAGTAAGGGCTGTAGAACGGTGCGAGGACCCACTGTGGACAATGGAGAGGCTGCTGCCTTTGGGCCCTGTGAGCCCAGAGAGTGGAGTAGCCCTGCTTGCTGGTCAGTCTGTCAGTCAGGACTGTGAGTTGTGGTTTGCTTTCATCCTGGATTCTCACGTATACGTGGGCAGAGCTAGTGCTGCTGCCCCACTCCGTGGTGAGGAGTTGAGTCTTAGAGGCAGTTCAGGTGTGTGCCATGCACCTGGCAAGTGGGCTCTCTGTCTCCAGAAACAAACCTCAGTAGAAAACAAAAGTTTATTTGAAGAATCTCTCCTTTCTCATTCAGAGCAAGATCCTGAGGCTGGGGGCTCTGCCTGCCACGGCCTCAGCCTGGGGTTCCTGGTGGTGCCTTGTTCAGGCACCTCAAATGTAGGACCTGGCTTGTGCATTTCCTCCTGTCCCCTCCAGGTTCTCTTCTGGCAGGAATGCTGCAGCTCCCTGTCCAGGGCAGAAGCTCAGGCCTGGACTCCCAGCATATGGGATGGCTGCCTTCTGCTCTTGAGATACAGTTGCCTCTGTTTGAAACAAGTTTGTAGTGTCAGACTCTATTTGGTTAGAGGCTTACATGTTTGGTTCCTGCCTCTCTGTGTCTTACTGCAGCTTGGGCCCAGAATGTCACTCTACACCATGTCCTGACCTGGTTACCAGTGTCCTCAAACCCTGTCCAGTAGCTCGGCCTTGACCACCATGCCACACTTATGGGAATGTGTTCAAGGCCCGGTGGCCCTGCAGTTCTGCCCTTGTTGTTGGACACAGAGGGTAGCGAGCCTGGCCCTGAGGAGGGTGCAGCACCCACAACTAGTCCCAAGGCAGCTGAGATTCTCAGACGAGGCAGGGCAGGATGCAGAGGAGGCTGCCTGATTGTCTAGTCAGGAGGGGTGTGGAGTGTGGGGCTGGGGCAGGGACCCTGTGGATGGTGGGTGCTGTGCTCTGTGCTCCATGAAGCTGAGGAGAGCTCTGGGCATCTCTTGATACTTGTGTTCCCTTTGGGGGTGGTGTTTGACTCTACCACCAATCTCACTCCCATCCCTTTATAAAATGTTTTGAGCCAGGGCCTCGCTAAGTTGTCTGGACTGACCTTGAACTTGGATTCCTCCTGCCTCATCCTCCAGAGTTGCTGGGGTCACAGGTGTGGCCATTGCACCAGACTGCTCCCTATGGTTTCTGCTTCCTCAAGCTGACTCTTGATTCATGAGGCCACACAGCCCATAATCTTCACAGTTATGGTAGCAGCTTTGGTGAGGGTGACCGTGCTTGTGACCTTCACTCTGAAGTTGGCTTCTTGCCTGTAAAACTACCGAGCCACCCAGGAATGTGGTGGCTCCGCGTTTTGCTGCTTTGGAGATGAAGGTGTCGACTTCAAAGCTGTCCTGGCCTGGTGCCCACTTTCAGAGTGAGAATTTGTCCTCTGCTTCCTCATCTGCCTGTCTGCTCCCTTTATTGTTTGCATTTTTAGCGTGGGAAGCTGGATGTCATAGAAGTTTCCCAGTTTCCTGATTGAGGCCTTGGTTAACTTTGTGATAGTGTCCTTTACGTGAGAGCAGATGCCACGTCCTATGAACTAGGGTATGGAGATGCCTGCCCAGCTTGCTCCTTGGTGCTCCAAAGCCTTAGCAGATAACATGGCTTTATTAAAGCCTGTGCCTTGGCAGGATCTCAGGCATCAGTAGAATGTTCCAGCAAGGTTGGCATTTCTCTCCTCTGGTGTTGTCAGTTGGAATTCCCCAAGGTTGTTTGCATCCTTTTGCTTGAGAGTAAGCTTTTTGGATTTAGGTTTGTGCACTGGATAGCGCCTAGAGGGAAGCACTGAAGTCATGAAGACACAGATAGTCTGGAGAGCAGGGGTGACCCTTGGCCTTCTTGAAGATAGGCATCGACTTTAAAAATTCAGCTGGGATGAGTTAAAGTCTGTGCCTATCTTTTCAGGAAACTAAAAGAACATCCAGAGATTGTGCAAAATCAGTCTTATGTAAACAGTGGGAGACATAAACCTGGACTTCATTCATGGTAGCCCAGCTGCATGGTTGACATTGTCTCTGAATGCAGAGCCATACAAAGCTGCTATCATTATGGGGAAGTCTCAGCAGTGCTCCAAAGAGGGCGGAGCTGGGCAGGAACACAGCGCCTGTCCTGGGTTTGTGGGTTCTGCCCCTGCTGCTGGCTGAGCCTGCAGATGAGCTGCATCCAGGTAAGCCTTTGGGCATGGTAAGGTGTGTCTGCCTTCACCCCCGCTCTTGATGTTGATGACATTGCTGGCGCCGGTGCCCTTCTGTCTGCCAGCCTGCATCTCTGGAGGAGTCTTCCATGGAGACATCACAGCCACAGGGCAAGGCTGTTATTACACCACTTTATGGATGAGAGATTGTCCATGCTTAAAAGTTAAATAAATGGCCCAGGAGCCTATAGCCTCTGAGTGCTGAGCTGGAATTTAAACCTTGGTGCCAGGGATCAATGCCACCCTGCTCCACACCTTTGCAGAAGAAGCAGTATAGAAGCAGCGTACAGGGATGGCCATGCTGTAGCCCACGGCGGTGCTCTGAACTAGCTACAGTGTCACTGCTGGGAGGCCAGGGAGAGCTGTGCTCATGCAGAGTGAGGGACACAAGCAAGGCCCCCAGACACGGCTTGCTTCCCACCGGGTGTGCTCCAGGTGGTGATACCTCAGATGTTTGTTTGTTTGTTTATTTATTTTTATTTTTGCACTGTTCAGCATTTTCAAAAATCATTCAAAAAATAAATTCCAGCTGAGCTTGGTTGCACACACCTATAATCCCAGCAACTTGGGAGGCGAACGCAGGAGGATGTGAATTCAAAGCCTTAGCAATTTAGCAAGATCCTGTCTCAAAATAAAAAATAAAAGGGCTGGGGATGTGGCTCAGTGATTAAGTGCCCCTGGGTTCAACCCCATCACCAGCAATAGAAAAAACTCCAACATGGGAGCAATGAGTGGAGTCAGGTCTTCAGAAGGTCTTCGTGAAGTTGCAGGGGAAGCTCGTGAGTGGTTGTCACCATTGATGTTCAAGAGGCAGCAGGTGAGCCTGTGTGCTCAGAGTTTTCTGAGGGGCAGCTGGAGAGGCCTTTAACGTCCCTGAAACACGCCCTGTGCAGCTGGCCTTGTGGCTTTGGCTGCGTGCCCTTTGCTGGCTGGTGGAGCATGGGCTTCCTCAGCCATCCTCAGTGTTCTGTGGACAGGAGGAACCTGAGCCTTTCTGGTTTCTTCACTAAAGCAAAACAGACATGGAGCTCTGTGGCCAGCATCTCCTTAGCCAGCAGGCTCTGCTGCCCTTTGGTAGCAGCCTTGAAGTGAGCGTCCCTTCCAGGCCTTGATGGAGGCCTCAGGGCACCTGCCTGCCTTTGGGGACTTTGCAGAGAAATCCATCTTTCCGTTTCCAACCCACGAGTACCACCCTCTCCCTCTATAGTTAGGTGCTTCTAACTAGCAGAAATCAGGTGGACCAGGATCCCCAGGCTTCTGAGGGTTCTGACCCTGCCATCATCACAGCATGTCTGAGTATGCTGCCAGGGTGACATCTGCTAAGCCTTAGGATGCCACAGTGCTTCACGTTTTGAACATGCTGCCAGGGTGACAGTTGGTGACCTTAGGATGGCCATGGACTTCTGTGACCTTCTTGGTCCATGGAGACAAAGTGCATGGCTTCATTTTATTTTATTTTAGCTTTAAATACTGTAAGTCTGAAACAGTCGAATGCTGAGATCAGGTGGCTATCCCCAGCTTTCTTTCCTTAAACACTGGCCCTAACTTTGTCCTCATCATGTCAGCTGCCAGACACTCACACGGTAGCTAAGCATCTGAAAGGGTGACCACCTCCATCCCCAGTCCTCAGCAGGCAGCTGTGTGGCCCCCTGCCCTGTGTATTTAGGCATCAGCTTTGCGAGGGTGGTACTGGTGCCAAGAGGCAGGGCATGCCACCTGCCTCTAGAGGCTGCTGGTGCTCTTTGATGTTGCAGAGGTGCTGTGGATGGTCTCTTTGGCATCTGTGAGATTATGAGAGTCAGATGGATGTGTCTGGTTCCTACAGCCACTCTGACCTATGACACTCTTCGGTTTGCCGAGTTTGAGGATTTCCCTGAGACCTCAGAGCCTGTTTGGATCCTGGGCAGAAAATACAGCATCTTCACAGGTATTGCCATGTCATTGTCCCTCTGCTGCCTGCAGAAACATCTAGTGATAGCAATCGCTGACTCCTCTGTGATTTTTGACTTATAAATTTAAGGCTTTGTGTGTCTTCCTCTTTTAAATAATCCAGAAAAGGACGAGATTTTGTCCGATGTGGCGTCCAGACTTTGGTTTACCTACAGGAGAAACTTCCCAGCCATTGGTGAGTACCCCACTGTCTGCAGTCTGTGGCAGAGCACACGTGCCAAGTGTGGCCTTACAGAGACGGCTGCCTGTGTTGGGGTTGAGGGCAGGCACAGACCCTGTATCTGCTCCCCACGGCAGTGTGGAGCCACCCCTGTCTCTGGGAGCTCGTAGCTCCCCCGCCGCAGGGTGGCTTCAGAGTGCCAGATGTCTCTTTCAATCCCCGTGGCAAGCCAGTTGACCCATGACTTATGTCCGGCCCCCGGTCAGGAAGCTGGACTCAGGGCTGGGCTCTGGGTTCCTGGGGGCAGTGCTTCCCTGCCTGCGAGTGAAGCACTGCCCCCTCGTGGCTGGAGCTGGAGTTTGGCATCAGGAGTTGTGAAAGGGTGTAAACTTGAAGGACAGGCCATGTGGAACAGCTGGGCCAGGAAGAAGGCAGGTGGCCTAGGGCATGGGCTAAGTCTACACTTGAGTGCATGTTCTTGTGTGGTTCCAGCATGTTTGGAAGACACTTAGCTGTGGGGGTCAGAGGGAAGGGGTTGTGGCCCATTTTTCTGTGAGCACTGAAGTACATGCCATTCAATAATGCTCTGTTGCCATGTGCCCTGCAGGTGGAGAAGGCTGGGGCCAGCCCTCCACCTGCCTCTTATGGTCAAAGGACCCAAGGCTGGATGTTAGGCCCCAGATCAATACCACGTCCCCCAGAGGCAGGTCATCAGTGGGTTCCTCCCCAGTGGTATTTCCCTTCTCAAAAGTGTGGTAGAACTAGGTGTGATGATACATACCTGTAATCGCAGCAGCTTGGGAGGCTGAGACAGGAGAATTGCAAGTTCAAGGCCAGCTTCAGCAACTTAGTGAGGCCTTAGGCAACTTAGCAAGACCAGTTTCAAAATATAAAAAGGGCTAGGAATATGGCTCAGTGGTTAGGTGCCGCTAAGTAAGATCCCTGGTACCAAAAATAGTGAGGGTGGAGATAAAGTAGACCCGGTGGCCTGGCATGCTGGGACAGCAGAGTGCAGGGGTGAGGTGCAGCTCCCTCAGGCAGGTTCCTCGTGGTGAGACTGTTAGGATGGTCTGGACGTTGTTGCTTCTAACACAGTCGCTCAGTCGACACCTCCAGTCAGCCACGCGACCAGCACTCGAGCTTCATAATAGAGGTTCGAAGCATAAAAATTAACTAGTGAGTTTTAAAATTAAAGAGACATAATTCTCGTTACCTTTATTGTCCAGCTCCAGAGACGGCTCCTCTTAGCTCCTGCCTCCAGCCACCTAATGCGGTGGGAAGGTTAACATGAGGCCAGCGAGAGAGAGAGAGAGAGAGAGAGAGAACACGCCAGAGAATGAGCTTTTATCGAGGAACAAAAAATTCAAAGGAAAATTCCATCCAATGAAGGTCGAGGGGGGCAGCACTCCAAGGTCAGGGTCAGTGATTGGTCTTCGGGTCAGTGGTCAGGCACACCTCCACACGGACAAGCCCTCGCACCTGGGACAGGGTGGAGAGGGCTCTCACCCAGCCAGGGAGGTAACTCAAATCACGTGCAAGAATGGCTTCCCACACTCCAGGCCTGCTCTAAGCATGGCCTTGTCCGTGATGGCAGGGTGCTAGGGAGGAGGCCAGAGCTGGAGAGCTGCCTTCCTCGCTGGCCACATTGGTGAGAAGAGGCTGGAATGAGTCACTGTGGGCGAAGCAGCCTGGAGGTCCTGAGTGCCAAGTGTAGCCCTACAGAGACGGCTGCCTGTGTGGGGGTTGAGGGCAGGCACAGGCCCTGTGTCTGCTCCCTGCTGCAGTGTGGAGCCCCCCTGCCTCCAGCCAGCATCAGCAGCCCCTCCTCCTCGTAGGACAGTAGGGCGGCATTCCATCAGAGTCCTGCTGCAGGCTGGCAGGACGTTTCCCACGTCTGTTACCTTACACACTGTCCCGAATGGACCCGGTGTGCTGGAGAGGGAGTGGTGGTTGGCCACTGCTGTGCTAGCCGCGCTGTGCTCAGCAGTACCAGTGTTGTGGAGGCTGTGGCCCTCTGCTTTCTAGCAGGTGGCAGGTGGCCTTCCTCGTTCAGCTCTGCCTTCTGGGGCCTGAGCATTCCTGTGGCCTGCTGACCAGGCTTGCTCACACTTCACTCCTCTCAAGGGCTCCTGTGTCAGGACGTCCTGCTCCCCAGCAAGTGCATCCTCCTGAGTGCTCAGAGGTGCCTGGTGCCCAGGACAGCTGGTGTGTGAGGGGTCAGCAGCTCCTGCCCCTGGCTGCAGCCTCTGCTGGAGCCTCTGGTCTTGAGTGCTTCTCTCTCGTGACAGGGGGAACTGGCCCCACCTCGGACACAGGCTGGGGCTGCATGCTGCGCTGTGGACAGATGATCTTTGCTCAGGCCCTAGTGTGCCGACACCTAGGCCGAGGTGAGTCTCGGCACCAGGGGAGGGGACTGTGGCAAAGGGTGTTTCAGGGACATCATACCAAACCATAGGCTAGAGGGAGCATGAGGTTTCCCTCATTGGTGACCCCCTGGTCTTCACAGTTCAAAACACAGTTTGCAGTTTAAAAAATGCTGGTAAGTGTTAATTTATTAGAAATTACTGTTAAACCGTTTTCTGTTTTCTCTTTGGGTTTGTTTTGATGTGTTGGTGAAAAGATTTGAAATTCTGGAGAGTTTGGCTTTTAACTTTGGAAAGGCTCAAAATTTCAGAGCCTGCCTATAATCCCAGTGACCTGGGAGGCTGAGGCAGCAGTATTGCAAGTTTGAAGCTAGCCTCAGCAACTTAGTGAGACTCTGTCTCAAAATAAAAAGTAAATTAAAAGGGCTGAGGTTGAAGCTTGGCAGTAGAATACTTGCCTGGCATGATGAGGTCCTGGGTTCCATCCCTAACACCACCACCACCAAGAGCCTGAAGACTGAATCTTGCATGGTGTGTGAAAGGACGTTTTCTCACATTTGTGCTTGAACTGATCTTGGGTGTTTGTTTCCACTAGATTGGAGGTGGGTGCAGCGGAAGAGGCAGCCCGACAGCTACTTCAGTGTCCTCAATGCCTTCCTGGACAGGAAAGACAGCTACTACTCCATTCACCAGATAGGTGGGGACCTTGCACACATGCCAGTCTGGCTCTGCAGAGGGCAGTGGCGCTGGGCCTTCCCCAGGAGCTGTGGGGTCACTCTGGACTCTGACCAGTGCCCTGGGTGTGGCCTGCTGTGCTGCTGCTCAGAGCAGTCTCTGGGACCCAGATGCATCCTGAAGGTTGGCTCTCCTCTGCTGCCACTGAGGCTGAGTGCTCAGGCAGGAGTGAGTGAAGGGCTGCATGGTTTTGGCTGAAGCAGGCCCAGTTGGAGCTCTGAGTCCTACCTGCAGGAGGAGGAGAAGGGTGGACCCGGCCCCCAGAACCTGGAGTTGCTCCATATCCTCCAGCCCCTCCTTGAGTCCATGGGCCAAGTGAAGGGCAGCACTTGTGATGTCCTCTGTCCCTGTCCCACCTCCCTTTTTAGCACGTGTTCTTGCATCTCACCTGAGCACCCTCCATCTGGATAGTGTCCTGTGTAGGCCTTCCTGCCTCCACATGTCAACAGAGGTGGGCAGGAGTTTTGGGTGCCAGGGGAGGCTGCGTGTCACTGATCCAGTCTGTTCCCTGCAGCGCAAATGGGAGTCGGCGAAGGCAAGTCAATAGGCCAGTGGTACGGACCGAACACGGTGGCCCAGGTCCTCAAGTGCGTACTGAGACTCAGCCTTATGCTTCTTTGGGGCAGCGTGAGTTTTCCTTGACACTTAGGCCTTCCTTGTTCTTGTTGCCTCAGGAGATAAGGGTCCTTCCTGATCCTTTGCTTGTAGGCCTCTGGGGGTCCTTGAAGGTGACTGCCAAGTGGGATTTGTTTTCTGGGGAAAGAAAACAACTCAACCCTACCCCACGTCATGTCTGTGGCCCCGGGCCCTTGTTCTTGGCTCATGGATCTGCGCATGGCCAGATTCCCCTTGTCTGGAAACACGAAGTGCTGGTGACCCTCTGTATGGGTGCTGTGGTCTTCTACCTCACAGGCCATGGTCCCCTTCCCACCTTGTCCAGGGTCTGCTGGACTCCACTCCCTGAGTCCCCGCCTGTGCCCACCTTCCTGGGGCAGCCCCCAGCACTATCAGTGCCTCCAGCTCTCCCTGCGGCTGCCAGGAAGACTCCACTTCTCAGTCCTGGACCTGTCGTTTCTGCTTGGCCTGCCTCACCCTTCCCTCTGGCTCTGTGCACTGGTGTCCTGGCATCTCTGGGGCCTCTCTGCTGCACTGAGGGCCAGCATCTCCCAAGTCCTGCTTCAGCTGTGACTGTCCCTCAAAGACCTGCTTGTTTGCAGGGTCTTGCTCGAGGGTTTCTGGCTTCATATCCCCTCGAGGCCAGCTTGGCATCGGATACCCTGCGTCCCTGCCAGCCTTCTGCTCTCCTCCTCAGGAAGGCTTTCTGTCTCCAGCTCCTTTTGTCAGGTTCCTTGGGCTCCTCCTGGACGCGTCCTTCTGTGCCACAGCTGGCTGCCAGCCGTCCCAGGCCTGTACCCTCTCTCTGCCTCCTTGGCTGGGCCTGTCTGGCATCCCCTGCACACCTGGGACACCTCGTGTGGTCTGCAGGCCCCTCGCCCCTTTCACGGATGCCCTTCTCCTGCTGCTGCTCTGGCAGCCCTGAGAAGGTCCATCAGTGCTTCCTCACGTCCACAGCCACACTTGGTCCCCGACTTGCCCAGTGGCAAGTAGCCCTGGGTTCAGGTGCATGTACCCTTTTTGGAAATGCCAGGCCAGCCTGCTCTGCTCCTCCTGTCCTCTGTCCTCCTCTCTGTGTGTGTTGGCTCCTCTTCCCTGGCCTGTGAGGGCTGCAGGCCTGGGTTCTGGCCCGAGGCTGCTGGTGCAGGATTGGCAGAGCTGTTCTTCAAGCACAGGCTCAACTCGACTCCCTGCAGACCCCTTCCCACAGCCCTCCTGAGGCTCCCTGACTCTGGCCTCCTCTCCCCACCCTGGTCTGTGTCTTGGTTCTGCCTCCTGTGGGCCTTCCTTCTTTCTCTGCCATCCTGATAGACTGCTGCTCTGGACCTCCCTGCTGACCACTCCAGCTGGCCTCCTGCCCTGTTAGCCCTCTCATGTGCCCTGGCACAGTAACCTGGGCCCCATACAGGTGCACTCCTGCGCTTTTGCTTGGGCCCTGGTTCGGAGCCCTGGGCTGCTCCCCATCTCTGCCTTCCTGCAGGGGCACTGGCAGCTTCTCCCCCTGTAATAGGGCTCCCTGATTCTTCCACTTGCCCACTAGCTGCTTCTCGTCCATGTTCCCTCCGGGTCAGCGCTGGGAAGTGCTGCTCAGTCTCACCTGTGGTGGACTTGGAGCACAAGGTGGCCTGGAGCCTGTGGAGTGGGCTGCTCTCCCATGGCCCTCCAGGCTCTATATCAGAGGGGGCTCTACATGGCTACCCCAGGGATCCCAGACACTGGCTGGTATTTTGTCCTCATAGCTCAGGGCCTGGACAGATGTCCCTGTGCCTGGAATGTCCCTTCTTTCTAGTCATTCGCTGCTTTTTTTTTTTTTCCTTCGGACACTACATCTTTATTTTATTTGTATGTGGTGCTGAGGATGGAACCCAGCGTCGCATGCATGCCAGGCCACATCCCTAGCCCTAGTCATTCGCTATTGAAGTGGTTCTCTGCCCCTCCCCGAAGTACCACCATCAAGGCAGATCCTGACTGCCATCTGTTCCTCCCTTAGAACCACCAGCTGCAGCCATAGCTCCCCCACCACAGTCGCAGCTGTGCAGCCCAGCAGGCTGGAGGCTGGTGGCCAGGGGCAGGGCTGCCTGCACAACAGTTAAAGCTCCAGTCTGAAAGCTGGGCTCCTGTCCACGCCACCTTTGTGCAGCCCAGGGGTTCTTGTGTGTGCCTTCTCAGAGGGCAGCTGGGTTGCCTGTGAGGAGGGATGGGCTAGCTCAACTTCTACCTCCCCATGATGTGGGTGTGCCCTGGACTGAGAGCAGCTCTGGCAGAGGTGGGCATGGGTGTTGTGGAAGTGCTCTGTGTAGGGGAACTCACCGGCATGCTGTCCTGCTCTCCTAGGAAGCTGGCTGTGTTTGACACCTGGAGCTCCTTAGCTGTTCACATCGCGATGGACAACACGGTGGTGATGGAGGAGATCAGTAAGTGGCTCATGGTGTCAGCTGGGGGGCATGTTGTGGGTGATATGTTTCCTGCTGAACCCAGGAAGGAGCCCTGCCTGGAGAGTTCTGTCTCAGCAGCACCAGCACTCCCTCTGGGTGGAGGGCCTAGGCTTTCTCCAACAGTGAGTTACTTCATACTCCACATCATTTTTTTTTTTTCTTGTATCTTTATTACAAATAATATGTTAAAGCCAGGGACAGTGGCCCATACCAATAATTCCAACAGGAGGCTAAGGCCAGAGGATTACTTGAGTTCAGTAGTTAGAGGCCAGCCTGGGCGATATACTCTCAAAAAAGCAAAACCAGGGGGCTGGGGCTGTAGCTCAGTGGCAGAGTACTTGCCTAGCACATATGAGGCACTGGGTTTGATCCTCAGCACCACATGAAAATAAACAAATAAAAAGCAAAACCAAAAACCAGTAGTAGGTCAGAGCATCCATATTCAGCCACCCCTGTGCAGGGATTCTGGCCGAGTGCCTCTGCATCCACACCCCATGGTAGTTGCCAGAGCTTTCGCTCAAGCAGATGGAGCCCTAAAGCAAGTGGATCGCTCAGCCTCTGGAAGGAAGACCCACCAGGAGCCTGAGAGAACCTAGGCGTGCCAAAGTGGGGTCCTGGAGGACGGTCCTAGCCTGGCTCAGCAAGGAGGCTTCGAGCCTAGTGGGCTCTGGGCCCTGTCCTCCCTGCCAGTGTGCTTGGTGTGCCTGCTCACAGAAGTTCACTTCTTCCTGAAGGACCCCCAGTGCTGGTTCAGCCAGCTTTGGAGTACCGCCTGTGGGCTGTTGCCTTGAATCCACCTTTATTTATTTATTTATTTTAGTTGTAGTTGGAAACAAGACCTTTATGTAGTGTTAAGGATTGAACGCAGCTCCTCGCATGTGCTACGCAAGTGCTTTACTACTGAGCCACAGCCCCAGCCCCTTGAATCCACTTTTGCTGAACAAGAACACATTGAGAGTGTAGAGGGGAGACCCCTTCCACTGTGATGTGCAAGCCACTGTACCCACCTTGCATCAGAGCGGGTCCCTTCTCCGCCAGCGATGGCCCTCCTGTCCCACTTCTTCATCCAGGATCATCCTGGGGGTCGCTGCTGACAGTGCTCGGAGGGAGCAGGACCTGGCACAAGTGAGGCCCTACGCAGACACTTCACTGTAGCCAGACTTGCTGTCATGACTGTGGGCCCTGGAACCTGCAAGCTCAAGACCATGAACAAAGTGTGTGTTCTCCTTCTGCTTGTCCCCTTTCCTCTGCTCATCTGTTTCTTGACATCTCTATGAAACCCATGAAAAGTACAAAGAAAGGAGCCAGATTTTTTTTTCCCCTGGCAATACTGGGGGCTGAACCCCCAGGGTCACTACACTGAACTGTATCCCAAGACCTTGTTCTTTTTCATTTTGAGATAGGGTTCTGCTAAGTTGCCCAGGCCGGCCTTTAACTGAGGTTTCTGCCTCAGCTTCCTAAGTAGTGGGGATCACAGGTGTGCAACACTGTGCTGGTTCAGAGTCACTGATTTGGCCACTCAGACAATGTGACGTGTTCTCTTCCAGTGAGGTTTTTTTTTAGTTGTAGGTGGACACAATGCTTTTATTTTTATTTATCTATTTTTATGTGGTGCTGAGGAATGAAGCCAGTGCCTCAACTGTGCTAGGTGAGCACTCTACCACTGAGCCCCAGCCCAGCCCCAGCTCCTCTTCCAGTGTTTTTTGATGCTTTTCAGGAACTATGTAGCTGGGCACAGTGGAAGCTACTTGGAAGGCTGAGGTACAATGATGGCATTTGAGGCCAGCCTCAAAACTTAATGAGACTCTGTCTCAAAACAAAAAATGAGCGCTGGGGTGTAGCAGAGTGGTAGAGTGCCCCTGGGTGCATTCCCCAGTGTAGTAAAAACAAACAGAAGCTCCGTGGTAGGCAGATGTGATGACTGTCTTACTAACTGGCCGAAGCGTATCAGTGTGCTTCCACCACCACCACCACCCCACCTGCCCTTCAGGGTCCAACCACCCACACCCTCAACTCCTGGCTTCACCCAGAATCCTGAGGGCTCCAGTTGTGAAGCAGCACTGTGGAACTGGCAAGTCCATGAGCCCAGGTCTTGCTGGGAAGGTGCAAATCAGGTCCTGGGAAGAGCCAGAGTCTGCATGTTTTAACAGCTCCTGGGGGACTGGAGGTTCCTGAAGCTGACCAGGACCCAGTCAGAAGTGATGTGTTTATCACAAGGACAAAGGCGAGAGGCCTGACTCCTGTGTGTAAGGGTGGCCCAGACACTGAGGCTGATGAGCAGGTGGGGTTGCTGAGCATGGCTTGCGTGGCCGGGGGTCACATGAGGTAATTCTGAGAGTCTTTGGCTTTGAGAGGTGCAGAGGGCTCCAGGAGATGGGAAGTGAGCTGCTTTTCTGTCCCACTACCAAGAGATGTCTCACTAGCCTAGAAGAGACGGCAGCAAAGCAAAAGCTGGACAAAATCATGCCTTGGCTGTGTCTCAGAGCTGCTTGTGGAAGGAATATATGTTCAGAAGCTCCATCAAGGCCTTTCTCTCCAGTGGGAACTGGCTGATCTCAGCCCCACCCAAGTCAGGCAGTATAGGAGGCAAGGGGAAGCCAACCACGATGTCCACAGCAGCTGCACCTGCCTTAGCAGGTGAACCTTTATGGCTTCAGTAGACAGTGGTGAGTCCCCTGATAGGGGCAAGACTGCAGATGAAAATGGTGTGGTTTTTCCACCAGGACAGTGTGAGCCAGCACAACTGTCTCAGTGGGAGTAAGTAGAGCCCCTGTGAGTGCAGCCACAGTGAGAAGAAGGGTGGAGGGAAGAGTGCAGGACTGGAGTCAGGCTTCCTGTGTGGAGTAAAGTGGAGCTGGTCTGAGTTGCTTAGGGCCTCACTGAATTGCTCAAGCTGGCCTTTAACTTGTAATCCTCCTGCCTCTGCCTCCAGAGTTGCTGTGATTACAGGTGTGCACCTTTGCTTCCAGCAAGACCCCGTTTGTAAACTCAGGAATACCTAAATGTATACATTCCTGGCGCTATTTCCATATAGCAAAAGTAGAAACTTCTGTAAGCATCCACGTAATGATACCTGCCTTTTAGGAAAGGGGTCCCACTGGTCCTGGGTCCCTCTTCCTGCTGTGCCGGGTGTTCAGGGTTCTGAGAGAAGGCTTGGTGTCTGGGAGTCAGGCAGGTATGCACACTGCAGAGGTGAGTGTCTAAGAAAGGCAGCTAGGGGCTCCATGGGTGACAGGGTCAACAAGTCCCAGCTCACAGCAGGCCCTCTTGCTACATGTGCTGACTGAGGGCACAGTGACAGGCTGCTTGCTGTCATCTCATAGCCTGCTGTGGTCATCTGGAGTGGAAAAGGTCTAGCCAGTGAGGAGACCACCATTGACACAGAGCTTTGCCTCAGAATCCACAGGGCAAAGTCCTCAGGAGGGAAGAAACTGCATAACGCAGAATAGGCACTGGAAGACCAGAATCACAGCTAGAGCACTGGATGGACGCGCGCCCCAGGTTCTGGTGGTGGGGTGGCCCTTGGAGAAGAAAGGGCAGAATTGGAATTGGCTGTTGGGAACAGTGATTTGCATTTATCAATCAGAGCTAAACAGAAAGGTCAGAAAACTTTTTTTTTCTAGTGAGCTATCTTGAGAAGTTTTAGTCCTATAAAAAAATTCCAGTGAATGACAACTACTTTTTAGTCACCTTTGATCTGGAAAGTTTCCGCTCTCTTTTGGGCCTTCTTAGCATTGATGGTTTTGAGGAATCCAGGTCGGCTAACATCCCTCACGCTGTACCTGTTTCCTGAGGCTGCGTTCAGGTTAAGTGTGTAGATTGAGAACACCCCTGAGTGGCACTCTGTCCTCTGTGTCCCTGTCAGTAATGCCCTGCCAGGTCACCTGGGCAAGGTGCTGTCTGTCTGCAGGGACCTTCTCTTGTAAGTACACTCATGAGCAGCCTGGCTGATCTCAATAGGCAGTGGTGAGTTTAGTCTGAGCCATTTCTCGCCTGTGGCTGAAGGTAGTGTTTCTAAGTCATCCCTTCTGCACCTGCTGGTTGGCATTCTTGAAAAGAGTCTTTTCTCCTTTCTCTTCCTGTCCTTTTTTAAATTGGAAGACTGTTTCTTCTGTGTCCAGGACTTTGTGGATTCATCTTTACCTGGGATGTTGCTGCCCACCTTGTCCTGGATGCACCCCTCCCCACCTCCTCCACACGCCTTGGCCCAGGGCAGGCCTGCCTACAGGCAGGCTCCGTTGGTGGTGTGTGGAGCGCATCCTTTCCTTTGGCTCCTCCTGCACATCCTCTACCTGGTCCTGGAGTCAGCCTAGTTCAGGCAGGTGCCCTGCTGCGGGGCCTGTTCGATGCCGGCCTCCACCTTCCTGGCAGGAGTGTTCCCTCAGTGTCTTCTTGCTGGGGAGCACCCAGCAAGCCAGCTCTGGCCAGGTGCTGGTTGCATGCTATTTTCCTTACGTTATTTTTCCCTACATACACGTGATTTTCCCTTGCGTTCTCGTGATTGTGCTGTTTCACGATGAGTTTCTAGTTGTGTTTTTGCGTGGTGGGGTTGTTCCAGGGCACTATGCCGTGCTTGACCTCCCATACCTGTGGCAGGAGGTGCTGTGCCTGCTTCTTGCAGAGGCTCCCTCCTCTGCTTGTCTCTCCTTCCAGGAAGGGTGTGCAGAGCCAGCCCTCCCTGTGCAGGGGCTGCCGCGCTTCCTGCAGACCCTGACGGGCACTGTAATGGATTCCCTGCTGGAGCAGAGATCACCAACCGGCCGTCACTGTGGAGGCCCCTGGTACTTCTCATCCCCCTGCGCCTGGGTCTCACGGACATCAATGAGGCCTATGTGGAGACACTAAAGGTGGGTCTTGGTGGGTCTTGGGAGAGTACTCACCCCAGCCCTCTATGCTCTGAGCCAGCCCCAGGGGAGAGTCTACAGCCAGGTCACCAGAGGGTGGCTCTGATGGTGGCATTCATTAGTCAGGTGAGGCAGGAAAGGCCTGCACATTTCAGCACTGATGGAGAATCTGCCTGTCAGAGGTCACGAGGGCCCTCAGGACCAGGTGTGTCCTCGCCTGGCGCTCCAGGCTCTCTCCCCCTCCAGGGCCTCTGCTGTGTTCTGGGTGTCCTCTCTGCTCTCCTAGAGCCTCCTGAGTAGCACTGTGAGGAAGGGATCCTGACAGGCTATGGGTGACAGTGACTGCTAAGGTCCCTGTGGAACTCTGTCTGTCATAGAGCAAGGAGAGCCAGCCCATCTGTGTTCAGCTGACCAGCAGTCGTCCTTCTGATCCTCTCCCTATGGAATGGAGACACTGTTTATTGATAGCCTGGGGCCATAGCACACACCTGTACTGAGTGACTTAGCAAGGCCCTGACCAAAATTAAAAATTCAAAGGGCTGTTAAAGCAGGGCGTGGTGGTGCCCACCTGCAATCCCAGCAGCTCAGGGGGCTGAGGCAGGAGGATCACAAGTTCAGAGCCAGCCTCAGCAATTTAGTGAGGCCCCAAGCAAAACAAAATGGGCTGGGGTGTGGCTCAGTAGTGGAGTGCCCCTGGGTTCACTGTCCTGCCCCTAATACAGAAGAAAAGAGCCCTTCACTGCCTTGGTCTCACCGCTTTCTCCAACCCTCTGCCTGCCTTGTGGTATCCTGGCCTCCTCCTGCCCTCACCCTGTGTCTCCCTCTTTGCTCTTCTTCTTGGCGGTCCCAGCACATCTGGCTTGTCTCCCGTCTCCAGTTCTTCCACTCCAGCCCATCAGACCCCCTGCCGTGGCTGAGGCTTTCCCCACAGCCCTGTGTGGTGTCCTTCCTATGCTGGAAGCCCCCTGGGGACCTCAGGGGTGCAGGGCCACATGCTCATCAGACCCCTCTCTCTGCAGCACTGCTTCATGATGCCCCAGTCCCTGGGCGTCATTGGCGGAAAGCCCAACAGCGCCCACTACTTCATCGGCTGTGTCGGTGAGTTGGGCCTGCCTGCCTGCCCGTGGGGGACTCTGCTGTCCATGGAGCAGTGCCCACAGCTGTTCGAGTCCAGCTGAACTGCCTGGGCCTGGGGGTCTGAAGGTGGCCTGACCTGCCCTCTGTCCCTTGCTGACCCTTCATTCTCACCCAGGGGAGGAGCTCATCTACCTGGACCCCCACACAACCCAGCCTGCTGTGGAGCTGACTGACAGCTGCTTCATCCCTGACGAGAGCTTCCATTGCCAGCACCCTCCTTGCAGAATGGGCATCGGGGAGCTTGACCCATCCATCGCTGTGGTGCGTCCTGACTGCAGGCTCCTGGGCAGTTGTTTGGAAGACTTTTGTACCAAACCCTGTTTTAGAGTGAAAGGGACACCTTCAAATTTGTGTGATTTCTTCAGCATTTTGGAGTGTTGTGTCCACATGGTGCAGAGTCCAGGGCAGGAGAGTGAGCTGTCTTTGAGCCCTCCCCGCCCTTGTGAGGGGGCCTTGCCTGGCATGGGCGTGCTATGCTGTGCAGAGGGTGAGGGTGGCACAGACAACCTGCAGGCGCCTGCCTGCCCGCGTCCTCCGTGTTCTTGGTTTCTTTGTGTATGGGGGAGGTGGTTCTCTAGGAATGGACCCCTTAGGGTTCTCGAGGTGTGGTCCAGGCAAACCTGCCTGTTCTCCACACGTACTTGATGGGAAAGGAGGCCAGATGAAAGGCTCTGAAATCAACGCCCTGCTTAGGACAACGTCACCTGAGCTGTGTCCCAGTGTTCTGATGACAGATGGGGCAGGTCTGTTGACTGGCCACAGGTGCTTCCTGGGGAGGGTGGTGGGCAGAGCGGGGGCTGGGGCGGTGTGGCTGACTCCCTGCCAGCCTGGCTGCCCTCCAGGGCCTGTCCTGTGGTGAATGTCTCTAGTGCACAGTGGCTGACTCTGGGGCACTGCGGGCAAACTTGACTGCAGAAGGGCGATGTGTGGAGGCCAGCAAGTGCCAGAGTGCTAGGGCTGCGCCCCAGCCAGAGGTCATGCTGTGGAACAGCTCCCCGTCCTCACTGTGGAGACCAGCAGGTGCTGGGTTGCTGGGCCGAGCTCTGGTCAGAGGTCACACTGTGGAACAGCTCCCTGTTGTCACGGTGGAGAGCAGCGCACACCGCTGCCTCAGAGATGAGCCTTCCATGGTTTTCGCGTCTCACAGCCCAGCTCACGGCTCGGGGCTCACTGCTTACACTGTTCTTGTTCCAGGGGTTTTTCTGCAAGTCTGAGGACGACTTCAATGATTGGTGCCAGAGGGTCAGAAAGGTGTGTGGCCACATGGGCGCTCTGCTCTGCCCTGCCTCGGGGTGCAGGTGGGAGGTGCCCAACAGGGCTGGCAGTCTGGTTGTCACGGGAGTAGATATTGCTGTCACCTCCATGCTGGGAGCCTCTGGGGCACACACTCCTCTCTGTGGACCAGGGCACTGGTGAGCTGTGCCCTGCAGGGTGCCCGCCCCTCCTCTCTGCCTCTGGGGGCAGACGCTGAGCTGTGCTCCGCGTGGCCTTGGGAGTCACCTCCCCTCATCAGCGAGGTGGGGTGAGAGCAGTGTCCACCATGGCTGTGCCAAGTGGCCCTTCTCAGCAGCAGTGGCCTCTGTGGGGCAGGGCTGTGGTGACTGGGCTGCCCTCACTGTTTCCCTGCAGCTGTCCCTGCTTGGGGGCGCCTTGCCCATGTTTGAGCTGGTGGAGCAGCAGCCCTCCCACCTGGCCTGCCCCGATGTCCTGAACCTGTCCCTGGGTGAGTGCCAAGGCTGCAGGGCCACTGCTGGGCGGTCCACCCCATCTCATGCTGCCCCTGGATCAAGGCCACTCTGCTGGAGGAAACTGCCCACGTCCTCCAGACCGTGGCCAGAGTGGGTCGGGGCCAGCTTGGGACAGCAGGCTAGTGGCGGGGTGCTCCTCCTCCCTGTGCCCCTTTCTTGCCCATCCCCCACCCCTCCTATCCTGCTCAGTCCTTGCAGTTCAGAAGAGGCTGGCACCTGCTTGTGAGGCCTCAGGGTAGGACAGGGCTGTCCCAGGCTGTCCCCTCTTCCAGTGTCTTACCCTACAGTCCCAGCGGCCAGAGGCATCTGAGGAGGTTTTGCCTTGTTCCTTCTAGATTCTTCTGACGTGGAGCGACTGGAAAGATTCTTTGACTCAGAAGATGAAGACTTTGAAATCTTGTCCCTCTGAACACCCTGGGCTGGGGGCCCAGCCTCCTTGGCCCCTGCTGCAGGCGCATTTGAGAACCCAGCTCGGCCTCATCGCGGGGCCTCTGCATTCCATCCCTCCAGCCTCCCCTGCCAAGAGCTGCGCCCTGCCGCCTCTGCCCAGAAGGCTCAAGGACTGCGCTGCCCTGCAGGCCTGACCACGGGAACCCGCCAGCCCGCCCCAAGCACACCAGGGCCTCCACATGGGCTGCCTGTGCAGGGGTCAGGAGCCTTCCGAGGGCTCCAGGTGGCTCTGCCAGCCAGCCTCCGTGCACTGGCTCTGGCCCTGCTTCCTCCTGGGCACTCGGGCCTGTGGTTGGTTTGGAATTAAAGCCCTGTTTGAAGCTGTTCGACACAGACATGAATTTCTGGGGCACTTCCCAGGTCAGAGTCTCAGGACCACCAGGTTGGCCTATGCAGAGCACTGGCCACAGTGGCCTCACCTGCTCATGCTGGGCAGGGTGAGCTGTGGGGCCACTTCCCCTCTGTCCAGCATGGCTGATCAAGGGCTACCTCGGTGGGAAATCAGGTGAAGGAACTGCGGCAAGGCTTCTCCCTGTTTGGGGGAGAAAAGTGTTCAAGGAACAGGTCACTGAGAGAGCCAGGGATGCCGGTGGATGCTGAGCCTCGGGCAGCTGGTGTATCCTGGGCGTCTCTCGGAGCAGGGACCAGCCGTGCCTCCCTCGGGTGGTGATGTTCTGCCTGCTGCTTGCTTGTCACCCTACTGCCTGGATGGGGGGGAAACCGGTGCAGAGCTGCCCTCCCCTCCCCTCCTAGGTCTCTGAGGTTCTGCCTGGCTTGGGCTGGAAGGGCGAAGGCACTTTGGCTGTGGTGGTGTGTGGACCATGGCAAAGGGATGAGCAGGGCAGCAGGCTCCTCAGCACTCCTCCAGTGCCTGCCCTCACCCTGGCTCCCAGCCGTCAGCTGGGACACTGGTCCATTCCCAATTCTGGTCCTGACCTCTCCAGACCTGATGCATCTGATGCCAGAGATGGGAAGCGGGGGCTTGAAGGAGCCGTCCCCAAGTCCTGGAGCTGGCCTGGTGGGCAGGACTGACCCCGTTGTGGCGACTCTAGGCAGCCCCCAGCAGCCCACCCAGGCAGTGGGGGATACCTCAGCCCCCCAGGTATGATGACATAATTTATTTCCTCTTACTGTCCCTTCTCTTTCCACCCTCCCTATTCTCCTTCCGAGACAGCTGGGGCCAGGGCAGGAGGGAAGGCTGGGACCCCTTCTGTCCCTCTGGGGCTCCGTGCTGTGGTGGCCCAGGAAGGTCTCTGCAGCTCCTGCTACTTGTGGGTTCCCAGGGTGGGTGGGCGGAAGGCCCCCAGCAGGGGGACCATCACTGAAGAGAAGCATCCTGGGTAGCATAGTTTGCAATTCTTAATGGCAAATAATAAGTTTCAGTAGAAAACACAGTTTGTGTGTCTGTTGATTTCTCCTCCAGTTGTAGCTCAGGTCACAGGTTGTAGACTTCCCCAGGCTGGGCCAGTGGAGCCTGCCTTGCTTCCCGCCTGGCCCAGCAGGGAGCCGAGATGTCTGTCCTGGTGCTGGGTGACATGTGATCCTCAAGATTAGGAGGGGAAGTTGTAAAAGCACCCGAGGTATAGGGTGGCTTCAGCTCCCATCAGTGTCCATGTTAGTGCCCAGCACCCAGACGGGAAGGGAGCTGCCGCTCGCCCTGGTGCTATGACCACTCAGGACACACACAGAGGCTTCTGTGGCCAGGCCTGCACACCCAGCCCTGGAGCAGCTCTTTTGGCCTGGAGGGCAGAAGTCCTTCATGCTGTGCAGACAGACCTCTCTGGAGACTCCAGGGGACAATGTGTTTCCAGAGGCACCAGCACCCTCAGCTGTGTGCTGCCCCCCACCCACCCCACAGTGAAGATGCTGCAGTGGTCCTAGACAGCGGCTCACATGGGGTCCTCCACCTAATCCCACCTGCATAGCCCTCAGTATCTTGTCTGTTTAATTGGGGGTTGGGGGACGCTCTATGGTAGGGACAGAGAAAACCCAGAAATTTCTCTGTGGAGGGCAGATTCCACCAGGAAGTTTCCACAAACCATTGCATTGGAATTGTTTAAAAAGGGATTGAACGAGCCAAGCATGGTGGAGCACACCTATAATCCCAGCTTCTCGGGAGGATGGCAAGTCTGAGGCCAGCCTTGGCAGTTTAGCAAGGCCCTGACAAAAGGGGATAGGGATGTAGTTCTGTGGTAAAATATCCCTGAACACCCCCCTTCCCCAAATAGGGTAAAAGGAGGCCTGAGAATGGAAAGCTCTAAGGCTCTAAGAACAGCAGCAAGGGGCAACACCAATGTGTGTGGGGTGCAGGGCCTGTGCCACCTGGATGATGGTGCCCAGTGGGCTAGGATGCGGGGACTCCCTCTAGCAGCAGGGCCCTTCTCCATTCAGATGGGTCCCACTCGGCCAGCCACAGTGGACATCTGAGAACAAAAGAGCCCTGTGGACACAAGTGTAGGGTAATTTTTATTGGAGCTTGTAAGGAATTCAGAAAAACGGCAACCACTTGTCATTTCTAATGATCTCAATGATAACTGCTCAGAGTTATTAAAGTTTAATACAAAGGGTGCAGTGGGGCACTCCTATCATCTCAGCTACCTGGGAGGCTGAGGCAGGAGGATAGTGAGTTCAAAGCCATCCTCAACAGCTAAGCAAGGCCCTAAGCAACTTAACACCCTGTCTCAAAATACAAAATAAAACTGGGCATCGTGGTACATACCTGTGATCCCAGCAGCTCAGAACAGGTAGGAGGATTACAAATTCAAAGACAGCCTCAGCAACCTAGTGAGGCCCTAAGCAACTCAGTGAGACCATGTCTCTGAATCAAAATGGCTGGGGGTGTGGGATGGACTCAGTGGTTGAGTGCCCCTGGGTTCAATGCCCACCACCACCACCAAAAATTAAAAAGGACTAGAGATGTAACTCAGTGGTAAAGCACCCCTGGGTTCAATCCCTGGCAACAAAAAAAAGTGTCATGAGCCAACTGTGATGGAGCCCATCTGTGACTTCAGCTCCTCAGGAGCTGAGGCAGGGTTGCAAGTGTGAGGCCAACCTCAACAACTAAGCAAGGCCCTAAGTAACTTAGAACATCTCAAAAAGGACCGAGAATGTAACAGTGGTAAAGTGACTCCATGTTTAATCCCTGGTAACAAAAAGTTTAATATGAAGCCATCACTGCTGGAGCACACCTGTAATTCCAGCTACTCAGGAGGCTATGGCAGGAGGATTACAAGTGTGAGGCCAGCCTCAGCAACTAAATGAGGTCCTAAGTAACTTAGACTGTCTCAAAAAAAAAAAAAAGGATGGGATGTAACAGTGGTAAAGTGCCCCTGGGTTTAATCCCTGGTAATAAAAACAAAGTTTAATAAGAAACTGACTGTGGTGGAGCACACCTATAATCTCAGCTACTTGGGAGGCTGAGGCAGCAGGATTGCAAGTACGAGGCCAGCCTCAGCAACTTAGACCTTCTCAAAATAAAAAAGGACTGGGGGTGTAACAAGTTGGAAGTTAGTCTAGACAATTTAGCTCAAGAAAGGCTGGGGTGCAGCTCTGTTGGGAGAGCTCCCCTGAGCTCCGAGCCCTGTGCCACACACGCACATACCCACACTCAGGACATGGGAGTGGGCAGACGAGGACACTCTGCCACCCCACTTGGTACCCACACCTCCAAGGTCCATGGTGATGGGGTCCCCGGCATACCCAAGCCCTAAATTCCCCATGAGCTGAGGCGCACCAGGAGCAGGAACCCCAGGACCCCAGGGCGGGCCGGGTCACTTCCACAGCACCCCCAGTGGCCTTTGTGCAGCATTGCAGATGGCGTCCTCAGAGAGCGCACGGATCTCCTCGTGCACAGCCTCGATGCTCCTGGAAGCGTCGACTACCTGTTCCACAGGATGCAGAAGAGAAGACCATCACCACCTCCCTCTGCTCCACGTGCACGTGGTGACTGGTGGGCCAGAAGCTGGAAGGGCCAAATTAAATCCCCAGCACAGTGTGGGGACCCCTGGGACCCTTCACCCCACTTCCCTCACTGGCATCCACTCTGCTCTTAGGCAGGCCTGTGCTGTCCAGATGAAGTGTGCATGGACGCGGGCGGTGCCCACTGGAGCCTGTATCCGTGGGCAAGCTCACAGCAGAGCCTGAGGGCGCCTCCTGCAGTTCCTAAGCTAGGACCTGGAGGCAGTCCTGCTGGAGGGCAACTCCTCAGAACATGGGTGTTCTGAAGAAGAGGAGCATCTGCTTCCTGCACTGTCCCAGCACTGCCACGGGGCACCTGCACAGGACCAAGGGCCAGCCCAGAGAAACTCCTCTCCACCAGAAAGAAGGCAAGAGACAGAAGTGCCAGAATCTCCCATCAGTCTGCTCTTCTGCTGGGGGGCTGGTGGGGGCCTCGCATCTGTTAGGGCTGACAGAGACCCTTGGCAACAAATTCTTGAAAATACCAAAAGTGTACACGGCTCACAGAACCTAAGGCTTTCATGAACATGGTTGTGCAGGATAGAGGACAGTTTCTCAGGTGGCACCCCCCAGCCCCTCTAGGATGAGGTTAGAGGAACCAGCATCTATTCTAAAAAGCAAGACAGACGACAGAACTCAGGATGCTCTGCTCAGTGAGACCCAGAGGTGAGACGCACTCGCGAGCACAGACAGAGCCAGGCCAGCAGCACTGTCTACAAGCGAAGCCGGCCGAGCACCTCACCCTCACAGCTGCCAGGCTGAGCCCCAGGCCCTGCTCTGGAGGAGCTGGCCGCACAGGTGGTGCTGACCTACAGACTTCCCTGGCTGCCTGCCAAAGATACGCAGTGACAAGTGTCCAGGAGAAGTGGAACTGGGGTCAGGGTGGGAGCACACAGGGGAGCAGGGGCTGCTGGGAGGGCAGAGGTGCATCCTGGCAGGGAAGGTGGACGCAGCAGGTGTGAGGGCTGGAGGAGCAGGACTGGGGAGAAGCCAGGGCACGACACCGTCCTGAGCACGCGGAGATGGCTGAGCAGAGCCCCAGTGGCCCTGCACAGGGGACAGTGTGAGGCCCTGGGTCACATCTGTGCAGGAAGGCCAGTGTGACCATGGGTCAGCAAATGCATTCCATGAGCACAAGGAGTGAGACAGGCTGAGTACTGGGACTGCTGCGCTCCACCTTGACCATGATTCCTGAATGCAAAGACAATAAACCCAGGTGCTACTCCTGGGATGGCAGAGCAGAAGTAGTGTGAAGAACACGCAGGACTTCTGGTGCTACATGCACGCCCAAGTGGAGCGCGCTAGGCACATGCCCATGGGGGCCTGCAGAGCCGCAGGCCCACTGCCTCCTGGGACGACTCCTCAGACTCAACTGGCCCACCAGATGAGGCACCAGGCCTCTATCCCACAATTCATGGGGATCAGGGATGAGCATGAAGCTCAGTGGTAGAGCTGCCTGGCCAGCTTGAAACCCTGGGTTCACTCCTGAGCACACCACTAAACAAAACATCCTGCTGGACCCAGGAGCCTGCACAGCTGTGGGTTCCCACGGGTGGGAAACAGACGGAAACTACAGCAGCCCTGCCCTCTGCAATCCTAGACACACCTTCCAGTTCAGAGTCGAGTCTCCCATGAGCTGCTGGAAGCTCTGCAGTGCCCGTTCCTGGAAAGCTCTGTCCTCGTAGCGCTCACGACCAAACTCTCCCCGCGTGGCAGCATCTGCCAGCCCCAGCTGAAGGAACAGGATCAGATCAGGCTGGGGAAGGCCGACGTCTGGCTGTTTGCACCAATCCAGGGAGAAGTTCTGCCAACAAAGAACCCATCCATCAGAAAAAGAATGTTTTGCTTCAAAAGTCATTAAAAGGGGGAAAATGAGCCAGGCACGGTGGTACACACGCCTTAATCTCAGCAGCCCTGGAGCCTGAGGAAGGAGGATCACAAGTTCAAAGCTAGCCTCAGCAACTTAGTGAGGCCCTGTCTCAAAATAAAAAGGGCTAAAAGGGCTGGGGATGTGGCTCAGTGGTAAAGCATCCCTGGGTTTAATCCCTGTTACCAAAAAAACAAAAACAAAAAAAAATTAAAAAAAAAAACCCAAGAGCTACCATTTAGTAAGATACCAAAAGATAAGAATTCTTTCTTTCTTTCTTTCTTTTTTGGTGGTACTATGGATGGAACACGGGGGCACTCTATCACTAAGCCATACTCCCGCCTCCAAAATAAAAACCCTGAAACTGCTAATGCAAGGAAGGGATTTGGGAACCTAGACATCAAAAAAATGTAAGTGGTCCCTCCCATGTGGACCCGCATTGGGGTTGGATCCAACCTAACCAAAAACACAAACTGTTCAGATGCCTGAGGACACTGGGATGGCTGCTAACATTTTCTTTTTTCCCAGATGAGATTCTCTTCCTTAAAAGTCATTTTTTAGATGTATACTGAAACACAGAGGAACTACCAGTGTCTGATGTAGCAGAGAGCAAAGGTCCCCGAGACCAGGGTGGTGGTATTGGTGGCACTAAAACTCCTCAATGAAACGCAGGAAAAGGGAGCAGCACCGTCTCCAGTCATAGGTGCGTGGCAACAGCCCTGACCATAAGCTCAGGAGACGTGCTGCAAGCTCTGGTGGGAAAGCAAGGCACTGGATGGAAACACGTGGACCACCCTGAGAATACCTCAAAATGAATCACCAAGTAAAACACGGGGCTACGCCTCGAAAACAAGCTGCAGCAACACAAGTGTGTTCTTCCCATCGATAACCACCAAATTACTCACCACAGCAGTAAGAATCACAAACTCCACCGAGCGCTTTCAGGTGTGCAGCATATGGTGCCTGGAGCCAGGGCAGCTCCCATCCACACGCCTGGCATCCTGAGGCCAAGCAGCACTCACCTTCTTAGCACTTGTGAAGGCAACACCAGAAAACGCATATCTGTCCACAACGAGGGTGACACCCTGGCTCAGCTTCTCCTTCATGGATGGCCTAAAACACAGAGGGTGCTCCTGAGCCCTGGAACTGGTCCCAGGCCTGAGTGGTCAAGTTCCAATCATCCTGATTATGCAGCTCAGAAAACCCACAGGTACTGGCCACAGCACAGCCCAGACACAGAGAGACGGAGAGCTGGTGCCACCAGGGCACTCCCAGCAAAACCTGCACACAGCAACGAATGCCGACCCAGGCGGCAAGGGCAGGCACACTCACCGTCTGCCCACGAGAAACTGGGCGCAGAGAGCAAATGGCTGAGCCAGCAGGGACCCATCCACACTCCTGCCCACAGGCTGGGACTACAAGGACAGGGTGCTCTTGACCAAACAGACACAGGCCCACCATCATGCCCAAGGCTCAAGATCTCAGAAGGACATGGAGTCAAGAGGCCTGGCATTAGTAAGAAGCCCAGCTGAAGCCAGGAGACTAGTGAGATGCACACAGATCTGTGCCCAGAGCACAACTCTCCCCCATGTGCAGGGTCTGTGGCAGCCTGAGAGCAAGCTGCACAACCACATTAGTGTCTAAAAAGCACACTGCATGTGCATGTTGTCTACACATACATGTAAGTAGAAACGTCTCAAAGAGTGTGCCCCGATAAATTAACACTGAATCAATCTGCCACAGAGATAAGAGGAACGCGGGACCACACCCTCAGGGAGTCTGTGCATGCCTACAGTGAGGAGGTGCACTCAGCGAGGTGGCATACGGTTCACGTGAACACACACTGTGAACACTGGTTGACACACACCAACACTGCCACCAACCCTCATGGATGAAACACCGTGACATGACAGATACATCACAGGGCAAACTGGGGAGGGGGTATGTAGGAACTCTACTGTTTGAACAGTTTTTCTGTGTGTCTAACACTATCTTCTAAAAAATTAAGTCTAGGGCTGAGGCTGAAGCTCAGTGGCAGAGTGCTTGCCTAGCACGTTTGAGGCGCTGGGTTCCATCCTCAGCACAACATAAAAAAATAAACAAACAAAATATAGGTATGCTGCCCATCTATACCTACAAGAAAATTTCTTAAAAATTAAATCTATGGGGGTTTGTTAGGAGAAGGCCACGCAGGGATGTCCTTGGGGAACTGTGCCACCTCTGCCCACAGGACTGCTGAGGGAAGATCCTCACACATGAAGACGACACCCAGGCAGGTGTGCAGGGCCACTCTGGGCGAGAACTGTGTGCTCTGAGGAGCAGAGCCAGGCGGCCGCAGTGCGCACCACTCACACATGCTCCCAGCGATTTGCAGAGAAGAGCAGGTGCACCGAGTGGTCCTCCAGTTCACTTTTCTTTTCCAAGTAGGAACTCAGAAGTTTGCCAATTTCAGTTGATCTTTCTAGGACAAAAAGAAAAAAACACAAATATTTGTGAGGTTAGTTCATTTAATTTAGAATATAGTTTATGTTAAATTTCTCATCCTGGACTCAAGTCTAATTACTCAGTTTTACTTTACTAAATCTCTGGACAGGTTCAGATTGCCCCAGGAAGCCAAAGAGTTTCCCTGAGAAAAACAGTAATATGCAGAGGCCTTGAAGAAAGTAATTCAGGAAGAAGAAAGGTTGTGACATCACAGAAGTGAGGTCTGAGGACTAGCTGGCTAGAAGCCTGGATCCCCCCCACCCATTTCCTAACCCTGTTTTATATGCTATCTCTTGATGGAATACTGCTGGTTATATTTCCATAAACCTTTCCAGAGTCAATGCTTTCCTTTACTAACAATATGGGGCTGGGGGTGTTGCTCAGTGGCAGAGGGTGCTTAACATGCAGCGTCTTGGGTTCCATCCCGCATACCTAAAAAATTAAAAACAAAGACAAAACCCAAAAGTGAGAGTGAAGAGCAGATTGTGCCTAGCCCTGAGTCACTCCACCTTGTAAAGCAGCTGTTTGCCACAAGCTGCTCTATCATGAGCACTGGTGCCAGAGTAGGTGACTCCACACCTTGTTAGCACAAGTGAACAGCCACCATCTGCCCAGGACCACCATAAAGCACAAACTGGCAAAGAAGTTGTGCTAATAAAAACGACCACCTGTGAACTTACTGATCAGAGCATTTGGACGCTTGGGTTTATCCACGCCATAAAAACAAAAACAAGCCCTTGAAATCATCTAAAATACAAAGTAATCCTCTCACATGAAATGCACAAGAGGAGGAGCACCCCAAGACTGGTTGCCGCACACAACCAACCAGACCTCAGATCATCTCAACAGAGGGCAACAGGTAATGAACCTGCGATTTCTGACCACCTCCCTACTCCAACTGGACCCTGGCCTAGTGTTAGTTCTGGGCCTTCCAGCTCCGCACCCTGAACAAGTTCTTGTTCCTGAGGTTATCTGACCACATACAGTGACTCTTTGCTTTGGTATCTGCTCTCTGACTTTGGTCAGCTCAGCCTCCTGAACCCCTGTGGTCACCTTAATCTTGAATTTAGCTTTCTGTATTTTATTTACAGATTTTCACATAAATTGTGAGTTGCGAGTTGAGTGCTCTAGCGTTAGGAATTAAGGTTGGCGTAAACAACTTGTGATTGCCTGTCCTATGACCACCGTGCGACCCGAGGGCCCAGTGCAGAGCAGCTGATGAAAACGGTGCAGCCTCTGAATTTACTGTCACGCAGTAAGTCCTGACACTGTGGAAAGACACCAGCGTGCTCGGTCTACGTTGACAACGGGGTGGCTCCGGCAAGACAGTGAGGCTGGGGAAGTTCGCGGGGGATGCGGCAGCGACCGGCTCGCAGCGGGAAGGGGAAG